AATCTAAGTTCGCCTTCTCCCAAATCCCGGATTCCTTCCTCCACGCCTCCTGCTCCCCGTCACAACTCTTCTGTTTCTCTTAGTGGTGCTTCGATTCGATAGGGGAAGGTCTTCGATTGGAAAAGATAATTGTTTTATTAGCGAGTTATGGAAACGTCGAGGAGATTCGAGCTCTTCATCGATAGGGTGCAAACCTCGAGGTTCTTCTCTATTTTGACCGATTGATTTGCTCATTATTAGGGTTTTATTTTTGTAATTGTGATTTGTGTGTTTGGGATATAATGGATGAACCTAGAAGGAAAACGCCTTTGTCTCTCTTTCTCATTCCATTAATTCTCTCATTTTTCAGGAAATATCTAGAAACCCACCACAAGAAGAAGCTTCAATCGATTAATGGCTTCTCTTACTTAAATCTCCAAGCCTTACCCATCCCCCTCGCAGGTTTTGTGACTGAAATCGACCGGAAACACTCTTTTCTCTACCTTAGTTAGATCCGTATCAATGGATTCCGATCTTGACTCTTCTAGAAATGGTTTCTCTGTATACGTTCTGTTGGCAAGACTAAGTTTTTACCACTGTCTCATAACAATGGTTTCTTTGTTAATCTCCTTGTTTTTGTATAGGTTAAGTCTCCTTGTTCTTATGGTTTATCTTATGATGTTTCGTAGTCTTTATATTCTTCTTCATGGATTGTGTTTGACTTTCCTTTATGTTGCAGGTGAAATGCAATGAGCCCAAGTCGAAGAATGAGCTAAATGTTGAGGCCTTTTCTGATTCCAAGTTCAAGATGGGAATATCTTTGGAAAAGGGTCTTAGTGGTGTTCTCAGCCTTTTGATTAGTGCTGTAAGATTGAACCAATCTTTGCTTTCTTTAGTTGGTAATCTGAGTTTGACATTGGTACTTTCGCATCTCTAATACATTGGTAACTTGTGGTTTTCATATGCTACAATTGAATGAATGAAGAAGTGGCAATCAAGCTTGTGAGTTCTTAAAACATTAGTTGGCTTGAATTTGGTCAAGATTGAATGTAATTTGGCATTTTAACAATTTGATCCTTTTCTTTTGCCCAAATAATGTTAAAAGAAAATAGAGTTTATGAACTGTTAACATTGTCACCACAGGCTTTGTTTGATCATGTTCAGTATATTGAGTGCTGAGATTGAATTCTTTTTGTTTTTGTTTTCCCTAGGAAAATGTGAAGACAACATCCTCACCTACTCAGTGAATCGAAGTTATACAAGATTCTACAGGGTGAAAGTAACTATTCTTATGTTTTGAAACCTGTATTTTAAATAATGAGCTATTGATTCTTTTTTCAGTTTGTGTTTCTTATGACTTCTCTTTTGCATTTAATTTTGGTAGTTGGTGTTCTGTATATCAAATGGTTTGGTGTTGATGGGGGCTACAATGTTTTGGTGTTGGATCTACGCGAACTGAGTCTTGAAGATCTGTTCAATTCAGGAAACTTTCCTTGAAGTCATTCCTCATGCTTGCAGATCAAATGGTAAACCTCTTTGTTTTCGTGTGATGCTTTTCTTTCATTTGCTTGTCTATGTTTCAGTAAAGATTAGNTTCTTTCTTCCTTTGGTTTTGTGTTAAGCTTAGGATCAAACGTGTTCACCTTTTACTTTGAAGACATCATTGGATTGATTAAGTACATCATCGACTTTGGTCTTGCTAAGATGTACATGACAATACAACAAATCAGCACATTCCCTACAGGTGATATCATTTGTATCAGTTCTTCAATGTTCTTCCTTTGAGCATGAAGCAAATTTGTTAAGTTGTTGTTTTGCTTAAACTGGTTTTGCTGAAAGGAAGGAAACTTGTTCAAGTAAGTCAAAGCTAGAAGTGCAAGTACACTAAGGAAGAAGTTTGTTTCTCTTATTCTTTATCTCATAAACCCTTATGATTAGCATTGTTGTTGTGTAGGAGTAGTACTTGATGTTCTAATGTAAGATTTAGTTTGGATTAGAGTTTGTAAGACTTGCTATGTTTTCTATGGATTTTGTTTTTATATAAAAAAATTATTTTGCTGACCAAATTTAATTTATATAATGCAAAATGGGTCAAATTGAATTGAAAAAATAACGTCAGCAAATTGCTACATTATATTATATTATAGCCCATAAATTGTGCTGTAACAAAAGA